AAAGTTCACGTGCAGAAATATTTTTGCGACTTTTTTCAACATTTTCGAGCCATAAAAAGGTGTAACTACTTTTTTCGCCAATAGAGATAATTTTATAAAAAATCGATTGGCGTAGAGACATACACATGGGTGAGCTTTAGTGTAGATTGCTAGTGTATGTAAGAAGCGAGAACAGCTCGTCTTACGGTCGACCCCTCTTTGAAGGCACACCTCATTTTCGGGGACAGTATCGCACCGTCCCCGGGATTCAATGGAGGCGTGCTACTCGTCAAAAGAAAGATACATGGGCCTTGGCAAGCACGATCACTGCATGCATGCGTATGAAAACGGTGGGCAATATCGTTCGTTCCCATACAAGTAGTTCAACGTTGACAAAAGGATATAATAACTTGAATGAACTATCAACAGCCTTGGGTCGACGGTGGTACGCTATGAAAACACCACTCGTTTGAGCGGTATTCCAGCAATGCAGAACAGAAAATAGCGAATCGTGGCTTGCATCTCGCCTCGCCCCTCTACGCTTGGCTTGAGATTCATATGTGATCGAATTCACAGCAGCGATCGAAAGAAGGTTGTTGACAACGGGCCGGAAGAAACGTCAAGGTCGGGTCAAGGTTCAATGTCTGATTTCGGCCCAAGAAAACGGTCGAGCCCCCATTCTTGAAAAACGTTATTGATATTGTGTGTTCTTTAACACTCTCCACCCACGGAGTTCACCCTCAACTGGGAACGTACTGTGGCCAGGACGGATGATTGTATTTCGATTAAGGAAGTGTCACAGATTCATTCTCTGTAGGATCGACCCCAAAAGTTGCTCACAGGACTGATACACATGTGTGACCATGGGGAAAATGTCCAAGTCAGGAGAAAAATGTGTGCACACATGGAGATTTGAACCAGTGTCCTACCGATGACGCGAAATGCGAAGGTGTACCGATTCCGGTTAGAGTTAATCGACTGATACGCTGTGAATCCGGTCTTCCTTAAATAAATGATACTCATCTATGTAGTCAATCTACTGCGTACCACGCTCACTCTGATCCTGGATGCACTTTGCACCACTTGCCGATGTTGTTGTCAACAAAACTTTAAACTTCCATTGGTTTACCTAAGGGTATTTCGCGAAGACCGGCCCACCGTGGGGGGCGGGCGAAGCACCCCTTGTTGTATGGATTCTGATCACTTGTTCATTTGATCAAAGTATGGAGATCGATCACATTATTTCATTTGATAATTCCGGTCACATAGATAAGATCTACCGTATTTTTGTTACTGTACGGCTTCCGATCGTCACACAGTTTTTTTTAATTAACGTATGAAAAATTCGGACATATTTCATTTGATAAAAGTACGGATCCTCATCACATATTTGATTTGACGCACAAGTACAGAAATTTCTGACAAGATCGCTACGTTGCATTTTTCGGGAAAGCGCTGACTCAAATCCAAATTTGTAGTTGGGGGAATTTTGTAGATATAGAATACCTTGTTATTATGTGCTTGGTCGCTCGGTGAAACCTCTTTTTATTCGTTGCATATCACTCAAAGAAAGGAATTTGGTTGCAATAATGTACTGCCCAAAAAGAGGACGTCACACGGAGAGGTTTGGCACGATCCTAAACGTTGGCTTGCCTGGCCGACCTTCGTCAGAAAACCCGGCCATTTGCGAACTCTCCAGGGGTTCGACTGCAAGCGCCTTTATTTGTCGAAGGCGGAAATTCTAACTCTTTATCTCCCATCGCGTGCAAACAACAACTCACAGATTGCCGTTGAATAACCGCAGCTGCAACGCACCAGCTCGAGCTGAACGCGGAAGGATGGAGGGTTGTCGCAACGTTCGGGGGTTGATGGCTCTCGCAGCTTCATTGTTCTCGCTTTCCATTGGCTATCACCCGGTATTGGTTCGGGCTGATGACACCCTCAACGGCGTTGTGACCGAGGCCTTGGGTGAGATGGTTCCTGTCTGTGGTTGCTTCACTCTCGTGGTCTGCGCCATGAACAGATCAGACTCGGCGTTGTGGTCACCTGAACGTAATACTGTCCCAGCCTATCTATGAACTGATGATGTCCGGGTCTTCTCAACCGCGAAATCTCATCATCCGCGTCAAAAATCTGTTTTGAAAAACACAATTATCTTGGTACGTCCGGCCGAATCGACCTAAGATGTATTGATCAACGGAGGCGCTATGTACCTCGTGAGACCTCTAAGTTTCGAAATTCGCCGGCAGGAGAGTGGCGAGCAGGCGTCCAGCGAGCTAGTCTTCGGATTGTAGTCTTGGGGATGTTCTCCAGTCGTACATGAGCTTGCGTTTGAAATTTTCTCGTTACATCTGGGGATCCCATAGTAGGATGGTGCGGGTCTTGGGCACACTGCTGTACGGTCGTCGTTTGGAGTGTGTTCCTTATCATATATTGTATCGCACATGAAGGAGTGCCAAGACGCCGATACGTGCCATGTATCCGATACCTGCGCGGAAAAAGAACTGAAATTTGGGCCCTGAAAATACAAGGCACACCTCGTGCGATGACTCCGATACGTGCGATTCTGAAAACATACAAAGCGGCATTGCGGGGTGTTTCGAATGAGCACCCCCCCGTGCCAAGACTCCGATGTAAACTCGTGGATGGGGCCGGGGTATGGGGACGCCGAAGGAGAAGGGGCTGACCTGTGAACTATCGTGCTTTATTTTGTGTTTGTCGGTGTACGTTCGATGTGGACCAGTTGGTATGTAGCAGGTTGGCGCCAGACCGTTATGACTACCGCGGGTTATGGCCGGTAGAAGAGAGGTTTGGTTTGGTGCCACGAACGACTAAGGACGTATGTATGTAGCGACCTACGGGAGATGTACCGCTTTTCCTCCCAGCCTTCTGTGGCCAGATAGCCAAAATTTTCCTGGTATCCTAACGTTATTGTTCGTCGTAGTTGGTTGTGGTCGTTTGGTGTCTTTGGTTTGTACGCGCTCTTGCTTGATCGAGCGGATACCGTTTACCGATTTCAGTAATTCCTGCAATATTGAACAGCAGTGATTGCAGTCCTACACTAGACATATTATGCTTTAAACGACATCACTTGCATATGAGCGACGTCACGGTGCCAAAGTGCAGCAGTGGAGCCCATGATACAAGCTCCCGTGGAACAGAAAATTATGAACCGCGACAGTAGCTGGGTACCGCTCGTGGTATCGCCCGACCTCACCGAGAGTATCGGGGTCTCCACACACCCCTGTGCGAAGTGAACGATACCTGTGCAATATTTAATGACGTCCCTCCGCACCCCATGTGCCAAGACCTGCATCCTTACGGTGTCTCCACTTCCCCCGGGAACATACAGGATTTGTCACGACTTGGTTCTAGAAGAACCATGCGGAGTTGTTGAACAGAACTGTTCGGATATATATAAAGCCCACATAAGAAAACCTTCTTCATCCTGCGATATCTACGGTAGAAAGCATCACGTGCCTCCCCCGGAAGGTCCAAATATGTGGGTTCCCATTGATATTTCATTGTCCACTCACTCATTCCCACCTTACATGCTCGCTGGCATGGGTATGATCGAATATGTTGCTGTCCGCCACACGACAGAATTCTCTGGCGAGCAGCTGACGGTCTTGAAGGAAGATGTGCTGGCGGAGAACGACATGTTCACAGACTATACGGGCGAGGATGGAGAGGTATAGTGGAGGCTATTTGTGGAACCAGGATATCGGTATCTTCCTAGGGTACGGACGTACAAGCGACCATTAGAGATCTGAGGACTACGAACAATGCTCTACCTCTCCGGAGTCGATTACCAAGAAGGCCCTCTCTCGCTCTCTTCCACCTTGGTTGAAACCAGCACGGTCGAGACACCCTCGGCCACGCTTGGCACTCCCTCGCCACATTTCAAAGAGGGAAAAATACCGCCGCTGATGAAAGCTTAATCACCACTCCAGGGTTGGCGTCGACGAAGAAATGTCCGCATATGGTGGAAGAAAACCCGGGTTCGAATCCGCCACACCGCCGTACTAAAAAAACTTGGAAAGAAATGGTGGGGGACCAAAACAGATTTTCGAACTCGTGGTGACGTGGCGGACGTAGGAAACCCGCGTAGTCGTGCACAGAAGATTATGAGGAAGAGATTCTCGACTCGCCGCCAGCTGGTCGGGTTCCGGTTACCCCAAGAAGACTCGAAAGGGAGGGGTAACCGGCGACAATCTCCCAACGTTCGTTGAGGACGATTCCCTCGAGTCACGCATTTAGAACTTGATATTGGTCGAAGGCATCACGAACCCCCCCGCACTTCCTTCCCTCTCAGCCTAAGGTTGGTGGTGTTGCGATACTCCACACCACGCCAATCACCCTCCACCATCGCCCTCTCCCTGCACCTTTGAACGTTTGCCTGAAACAAAGTGGCGAACTGCTAACCACAACGGCAATGACATCACCCTCACCGTGTGGACAAGGTATGAGACCAATTTCAAATGCGGGAACTTGAACAAGAAAATACCCATCGCGCATTGACGCCACATGTGCTACTTGTCCAGGACCGGTGACGTACGGTTTAGGGTTAGCGTTGGTCCCCTTCACGTCGAAATCTACTTCGCTTCGATCTTTTACTCACTAAGGACGTAGATTTCATACTTTGGTAGAGCATACCAAAAGGTTCCACACATTCACTTCATTCTTTAGTTGGACGACTGAAATTGCAGTTTCACCCCATACACTAATGTGCCCCCCAGGCTGCTGGTTACTAGCCGTCACTGTTTCCTCGGCGTGGTCTTGTAATCAATATTATTTGATTTCGACATACCGACTCGGACCTTTCGCAGGCGTAGACCTCGCTATTATGCTTGTCCGGGTTGTGTTACGTCCGGAAATCGCACACGATTCACACCCCGAACGTAACATTGTGGAATGAATGTATCGCCTCGCGCCTTTTCCCAAGCACAATCATCTCATCCTTGCTGTGATGGCTGGCCCGATCATGCTTCGTTACTACTCGGCTTTCCAATCCAAGTGGTATGGTGGCCGGCATGTTCTGGTACCAGTATGAAGCCACGTGTGCGAGCAAGTGGAAGGTGAGCGGAAGAAGCAAACACGAGTGTATTAGACTTTGTGTACAACACAGCCCTGGGGGTCAGACAATGAAACAGTGGATGCTCGAGTATCCATCAGTACGTAAGCTTTGAATCTTCAATGTGCAGAGCGGGCGACCAGGCCAGATAAGTTTGCTCCGCATGCACAGTCAGACGCTACACGCAGATGCAAAACATTGACAATCTGCGACGTTAACCTGTCATCTTCTTGTTTATACCAACAATCAATGAACACAGACGTACGCAGAGGATATTCAGGAAGGCCTGGAGGGCGTCGAGCTCTTGGACGACAACGACCTGGGATTTCAAACTCTCAACTCGTTTGGACTGGGCTACCGGCTGGTCGGCAAGGGTTCGTTCAAGGAGAGAACACTGGCGGGGGCTGAGTCGCTATACGACTTCCGCTACGCGGTAATTTCACTCAACTGGTTCTCTTCGTTGATTCACGATTAAAAAACAAACGCAGAGTCGCTGATGAAGAATACAACCCACCAGTCGTGCCGTTCCGACCTACTACAATACTCTAGCTCCCATTGGCATCTTGGCGCATTAGTTTAGGTCGTCAACAAAAGATATACGCATATATACGCGGTTGAGAGAACGCAGTACGCATCTCCGAAATCCAGCGCCGTGTTTCCGGTCAGTGTTATTGGCACCCTTCGCTTGGCGGTAGGGCTATGATCGCTGGTCATATCTCTAAACATGCTGCTGGGTGCCTTATCTGTGGACCGCCGATCTCACTCCAGAGTAATATCCCAGCGTTCTGGTCCTGGAAAAAACCCTCAAAGGAGCCACAGTGGGAGCGAGCCGTCAACGTGGATATGATCATGAACATGGAAATCATGTTGTGGGCCGCCAACAACGGCGGGGACACCGACTATTCTGATGCCGTGGAAAAGTGAGACGGGCCCCAACGCTTGGGTGTCTCTGGGCACCTCGGTTTAACTGTCGGTCGCTGACAACAACTGTAACATGGATGCAAGTGTACGTCGACGACGAATATGTGCCATGTCACCTAGCTAGGGATAACAGCATTTGATTCACACACGAAGTGGTGACCACCAAGTGCCGGAGGGTCGCTGTCCCATCCTGTCAAGGAAGGTCTAACTTAGAAATATTGAAACAGGCGGATTGAAACCGGTCTTGTTGGTAGGGAAAATGCTCAACTTTTTTCCCGCCGATCGCCAATTGCTGTGGCTAATCTTCCACACGTGATACGCTGGCAGCCACGCCGACACAACGTGGGCAGACCTTGTAAGGGAAGACTACAGCACGTACCATGTGGCGGACTATGACCCATCGACGGGGGACCTAGAAGACAAAGGTGAGGCTGACAACACGATGTGAACGATCAGTAACCCCATTTTTGGCGGATCTTATACTGCTGTCGTCGGTGTCGTCGGTGTATTACTGATGCCGTGTCTGGAGCAAGCAATATCCCTCAGTCGCATACTAATCGGTCGTTGAGAGCGCCTAGGGTGGTTCGGTTCCATGCCACATTCTATCGCACCATCTGCTGCGCCTCCCCTCTCCCCTGCTCCCTGTCAGAAGGCATACAAATATCAATCCAGCATCTACAGCTCTTCTCCTTTTGTCAGACATTTTACAGGGATGAACGATTAGACTAATAGCCGGGAGAAACAGTCATGCCCCTCCCCCCCACCCCAAACTCCTCCGGATGACCGCCCCCGCCGGATCAAGGTAAGCAGGGGTTCAGCAGATTTCCCTCCAGGATTCGATCCGACGGTGTGTCTTTTGGCCAAGCATGATGTTGGTCAACCCTTTACCCACTTGTTAAAATCCTGGTAGTGATCATTCTGCCCGTCCTTGCGTAACACCACCACCCCCAGGGGATAGAAGCGCTTGAGGCTCGCCAGAGGTTAGTGCCCAGCATCTTTCCATTGTTTGGGGACTACCGCAAGAGTCGGAGAGATGGCACCCCCGTGTTAGCGTTTTTTTGTAGCGTATTTCTCCACAACTAGGAGGGTGCGAACACCAACCGATACCTCTCAGGAAAGCCCTCGACGAGATGTTTCCAAAACTACCCTTTTCGGCAGTGGTACCCCCCTGGTTGCGGAGCAATACGCTATTAAAATACGCTAACACGGGGGTGCCATCTCCTCGAATCTTACGGTACCTCCGCTATCCCCAAGACCTGCTACTGCTTATGCCGATGAACGTCGCGAAGCACACGCCGACGGCAATACAGTAAGCCCTGGAGCGAAAAGGGCTGGCAAACAAGCTACTCCCTGCTCTCGGGCGGCGGGGATTTTCAACCAGCTTAGGGTTAGGGTTGGGGTTAGGGGTACAAATGTGAAAGATGGGGTCTCCTACAAACCTCGCACAGCAACTAATGGTATACGATAGAGTACACTCTACCTCTTCATCCCCCTGCCTTTCGACGGCCGAGCCAAGATTATTTGGGAGCAGCCATGAGCAGATCATTGCGCCTCTTCACAACGTGTAACGTGCCGCTCAAGATCGCAAAAAACAAATGGTGTTAGGAAACGAACGCTTATTGTCGCCCCCGCGGAGCTCGTGCCGACCTGGTGGGTGATCTGGAAGTTTCGTGCCTGTAGTGCCTGTCGAAATTCCAACCGTACCTCATCGTCACATTTTTTTCCTTCGAACGTTTCGCAGGGACATATCAGGGGTGGCAAGACGACTCTACTTGGTCCAGGGGGCAGGCATGGGCCGTGTACGGCTTCGCCATGGTACACCGCTATCTCAAGGATGAGAGGTTCCTGGACCGTTCGATCCTTACTCTCGGGTAAAGAACCACACGCCGTTAACATGATCGCGCCGACAACATGACCGCAAACAGTACTTCGAGATTGGTTCGTGAAGCTTCCTATTTCAGGAATGGTGGGTCCCTAACCAGGTATGCAGCTCTTGTTCTCGGGATCGCTCATTTATCATCGCCTCTGTCAACCACCTGATGACGCGTCTCCATCTCCTCCTCGATCTTGAACACTCGTATCAGATATTTCGTCGACAACCTTCCTGACGACAACGTGCCCTACGCCGATTTCGACGCTCCCGAGAACTCAGACAACCCCAAGGACTCGTCTGCTACGGCTATCGTAGCCTCCGCCCTCTTCGAGCTGTTCGAATTGACTGGTACGGTGCCAACATATCCTTTTACTAATCGCACAAGCTTTTTCCTGTTGTTCATTAATCAATACCTGAATCTACTATCAAGTCCGGCTTTCTGCGTCTCGAGTGCACGATTTCCTCCTTTGATGTTTCCGATGTAACTTCTTTTGTCATACTCTGTGTTCTACCTCAGACATCTCTCCCATGGTTTTCGTTTTCTTCACGCGTTCACCTCCCTCGTCCCATTTGGTGACTCGCCGAAATGTAGGAGAACCAACCTACCTCGAGAAGGCCCAGGAGTTCTTGTCTTCGTTGCTGCTATCGTCCACCTACTTCGACTCTTCGGCAACGGACGGATGGCAAGCGCTCCTCAGGGAATCAGCGGCGGCATGGGGGGAGGATTCAGTGGGGTCCGTCACCGGGGACTACTTTCTCCTGGAAGCGATGGTTAGTGCTAGTGGGTTCCAAGTGTTGGAGAATCACGGGCTTCCTGGATGTTTGTGGAGCCCCGCGGTCTTAGCATAGGTGTATGACGCCTGCTTGATGGTATTGCCGAGTCCCTTCCACCTCCAGCGATGTCAATACGCATGACTCACGTGGGTTGAATAATGAACACTGGGAAGTAGGAAACGCCATGTTCGTCGTTCGTTCATGCCATGTACACCTACCAAAAGTCCTCGCAATCTCATGTGTTCGCCTCCGGGAAAAACATCCAGCACATGAAAGTTGATTGTTCAGGATATTGCAGTACCAGTTCTCTCTTTTCATCGTCTCCAACATCAACCAGATTCTTCAATTTAAACGCTGTCGGCGTCGACAATACCATTATCGCCCCAGAAACAATATTGCTGAACAATTTTCCCCCGAACTTTCAAGGGTTGTCAATGTACTTACCACAGCGTGTGCAACCGACTTGTCTACGGTATTCTCCACCACTCCCGCCCTTTGTGCGTTTGCCAGGTCCGGTACAAGACCATGGCCCCCTCTATCATTCTGCGGGACGAGGAGGAGGCCAGCACCACCGACGACGAGCTGTCGCTCGAGTTCTCTGGAAGCGATCTCGACGGCGACGTCGACCTCTCCGGGCTATCGGCAGAGTCCCCCATCATCATTTGGTGAGATATGCGCCTCCATGATGTACTGCAAGTTGGCCCAATTCGAATCTAATGACGCGGTTGTTCGTATGGAGCGCATGGTTTAAGAGTGTTGAACCCGAAGACATGTATCCGGCATACGTGGTGAGTGGAGTGCGCCCGAATTCGGCAAGGGGTGCCCCTGTGTTACAAGGGGGCTGCAGCCCAATGTCGAAGTTCGTACGTACGGGGGGGCGTAATCTGAGGCGTGCTCATTATCTGGGGCGGGGTGCCCTATTTTGCGGGGGAGTGCCTCCAATTCTGGTACAAAGGATGCCCGAGTTCTTGGGGGCTGGGCTGCCCTCACTTCCTAGGGACGTCCCCTAGGCGTTGGAGTGCCTCTAACCAAGATGGGCCCCTAACCTGCCACAAGCCTCCGTACGTGAGTATCATGACCGTGCACACATGAAACGGGGATGTGTCGAGCTTTCCCGTTGTTGCGGTTTCCGGGCACTATTCGTCATGTGGTCTAGGCCCCCCGAGTGACGAAAGATGTTGTGGGTCTCGGGATTGCGGGTGAGATACCTGCAAGAGCCCCTTCTGGCACTTCTCCCCGGTGGGGGGCTATTTTTCCTGGCTCTCTTGAAGAACACATCTGCCGCTTTTCGGTGTGCTGTTCGACAAACGCTAACCTATTCCGTGGGACCTCGGCCCAAATCAATCAGGTTCGGAGTGACTCTGACCAACACCGACATGGTTCCCCAATCGCTGACACTCGAGAGTGGTTCCTCGTCCGCGACCGTGGACATCGATGAGCCCGACGACGGCTGGAGCTCGGGTGAAAACAGGTGTGAATCGCTTCACGGGAGGGAGTTTGTGCAACCTATGTGTTGTTTTTCGTCAGTATACTGGTTTGAAGATCACATGGTGGATAGCGCTCGGCATTCTCGCTCTTTTGAAAGGCCAAAAGGTAGCGCCCCTCTTGGTCAAGATGATGACGGCGTTCTGATATTCAACCGCCTAGATATTTGCAAGAGGCGCGACAAAGTGTCACACAGGAGGAATATTGGAGCTGAACAGTGCGGAAATTGGAACGTTTCTGTTGAAAGCTAGATGTGAGACGACGTGCGAAACAGTGTGCCGTCGAGCTGTGCTCGTCGCACATTGCCTTCAGCTAGCATCTTCCATACACGCCCCGCAACGACAAATAAAGTTGGCACTGCCGAGAACACCCCAAGTAGCACGAGGCAAACGTGGCGACAGCCACATCCCCCCCCCCATGAACGTTGAGTACGCCGGAGAAGTATGGGAAAGGAAATAAGAAGGAAGTGAAAGAACTCGAGGCGGCGCAGATGAAAGCAGCGAAAATCATCCTAGGATACTCCAAGCGCACAAGTAATGCAGCCGTCAGGGCAGAATTGGGGATCCAATCCCTACGGTCGGGAAGAGACGTAAGGAAGCTGACATGGCAGTATCGCATGAGCGGGATGGGAGAGGAGAGGTTGCCGAGAATAGGATGGGAAGCGAAGCGGGCAAACAAAAAGAGGGGTAGACAACCCCCGGAACGGGTCAAGGTTGTAGAGGACGTATGGAAGGGGTTCGAAATCGACGAAGATGAAACGCTGGAACCGGAGGGTCTACTGGGGTTCAAGGAGAAGATATCTGTTGCTTGTGCCGAGAGAGAAGAACCGAATCTAAGGAAAGAAACGAAGGACAAGGAGGGTCTAGAAGTGTTCGGATTGTTGGAAAGAAGGAATAGGGTTCAGGGATTACCTACAAGGACCAATGGATGCAGGGACAAAGCTTCAGGTCAAATTCAGGACCGGGGACATAGGCCTTCGAGAACGTCGACGAAGACATGGGACGGTAGACGACGAAGACGACAAGTTCAAATGTGATTGCGGCTTCGAATGCGAAGACCGCGTTCATGTAGTCGCGGAACGTCAGTTGTACGAAGAGGAGAGGGAAATGTACATGACTGAGCTGGGAAAAATACAAGGGAGGTACAGGGAGATGTTTGAGGCATGGAATAGAGAGGACAGGACGGAAGCTGGACTGGGGAGTAGGAAGTGGGTTGAAAAGGCGGGAAGGGGTATCGTTAGGAAAGATAGACTAGGGAAGACATTTTTGAGCCACCTTTGGCAAAGTAGGAAGGAACGATTGGACATCGGTGATTTGTCCTGTGGGAACAATGCTCCGTCCTCTCGAGGACGCGTGGTCAATGGTCTAACCGCTAAGGCATGAAAAACATAACAGTACGCCCCCCCCCCCCTCCCCGCCCTATGAACGTTGAACCCATCCTTTTCGCCTGTACGTCGATTTGGTTCTCCGTTCAACACATCTCCTCATATTTCCGTGCTTCTTCACCAACATATTATCCCAGGGTTTCGTTCTCCGTGGAGTCAGGGTCCTTCTCAGGGCTGTCCACGATTGACGGTGTAACGTTTGTCTTCGACGCCCTCTCGTCGGACAGCACCGATGCGACCGTCGACTACCTCGTCGTGGGACACCAGCTGAAAACGTGAGACACAACAAGAGAATGCGGGTCGACACACCTCGCCTGTAAGAAATGCGGTGTGAGTAGTGTCCGATCGGTCGAAACGATCATCAGAGGACACAGCATATCACCCACAATCTGGTGCTCAGCTCAGCTCTGACGCTCCAAGCTTGAAGCTGTCGTTGAGAACGTTCCTAGTTGGAGAAAATGGGTGAGAATTGCGCGGATTCGTCTAAATCACAGCGCGCTTCCTAGCACGCCATTTACATACTAGGAGTACGTAGCTCGAGGAGGGAAAGTAGGCAAGAACGCCGTTCGCAGGATACGATAAGGGAGTAGTTTCTGCGGCAGTAGGTGCCCCTGAAGAAGTATCCTGGCGGCCCCTGAATCTATATTTTCAGACAAATGACCCCCACTATTATCGCCAAGAAAAGTATTTGTGTGCGCCTACGTGCTGTAGGCGGAACATGGAGTTACATATCTCGGAAGTACCGTTAATGAACATGGGGCATTTCGCAGCACCACTGACGCGATATACTCTGTGAAGTGATCACCGCAGAGGGGATGCGTTCTGTGTGCTCCCCGTCTGCCGAAAGAAAAGAAGTCCTCTACACAAAGGACGGATGGGTGAATACAAGACCGAAAGGAAGGGTACTGCGCCAAATTAAACGCACTGCCCTACCATCTCCCGAACTGGATGTTTGGTCAACACATGTCAGATCGCTCGAGACGTGTGAGGCCTGCGATTCTACTACCGATGATGATTTTACTACCGACGAAGGTAAGTTCGGACTCCAACTCGAACGAACCTAGGCTACACAAACTCTTAGTCGATGCAACCGTTACAAGCGTTGCCGATTCGCCCAACTACGAATCCTAGGCAAACGCAGGAGGCTGAAGTCGGAAAGTGGTAGAAAATGACATGCATACGCATACAGTACATATAATGTAAATAATGACGTATGCATTCGTGCCCTACTCCTGCTACTACTCTAGTATGACGATTCTAAAGAATCTCATCGTTGTTTCTTGCAAGGACAATGTTCGACCACAGATCTGGGTAGCAGCGGCCTCGGAGATATCGAGGCTAAACAAACCAAAAGAACGCCTGCAAGCTTTCTAACAGGATGAACAAAGGCCTCACCCCCTACGTTCGACGTGGTATTCAAAAATATTGTCGTCTGTTGCATGCCCCGGTCAGTCACCACGTGCAGTAACGGTCTCGAAGGTATCGATGGAAGCGGCAATGTTTGCTGTCCTTCGGGCTGAACAAATGCCGAGGACCTAGTTGCTCCACGTCTGGGGCTGCGTCTGATCTGGCGGTGATTCCTGTGTGGCGGGAGTCACGGTTATCGGGGGGTACCGTGATGACACCAACACAGGCGCCGTGCACCCCGGGCAGTAGTCTCACGTCCGGTCATAACAGATCGACGCAACACATACCATACCAACCACCCGCCCATCCATCCTTTCGACTCAACATCGGTCGAGAGCCACACTCACGTGCTTCCCTGTATTGGGTGCCACTCCCCCCTACCGCTACCTCAAATACGTTTTGCCCTGTGTGTCTTACGTGATCCGCAGTCGAAACCTGCAGCAACGGCCTCGAAGGCATCGAAGGTAACGGTGTCGTGTGCTGTCCGTTGGAGTGTAACCAGTGCGGAGGAACCGGCTGCACCATGTCCGGCAGCGCGGCTGGTCTTGGCTCTGAGTCCTGCTGCGGGGGAGGGATCAAGGCTAGTGGCGCGTACTGCGATGACACCAACGAAGCGCCGTGCATCATCGGCAGCCGTCCCACAACAGGTGGGTAATAAAGATAGCCTCAATACCTACCATACGTCCATTCTTCGGACATGCATCGGTCGAGAACCGGGGGCGGGCGTCACACTCGCTTGCTTTCTCGTAGCGCAACCTTCTCCACTACCTCAAATACGTTTTGCCCTGTGTGTCTTACGTGATCCGCAGTCGAAACCTGCAGCAACGGCCTCGAAGGCATCGACGGTAACGGTGTCGTGTGCTGTCCGTTGGAGTGTAACCAGTGCGGAGGAACCGGCTGCACCACGTCCGGCAGCGCGGCTGGTCTTGGCTCTGAGTCCTGCTGCGGAGGAGGGATCAAGGCTAGTGGCGCGTACTGCGATGACACCAACGAAGCGCCGTGCATCATCGGCAGCTCCTCCGGATAATCAAATCGAGACACGTCCAGCAACCCCTCGGTACGGACAGAGTATGGTTGGACGTCGAACAAAATCGGATTGCGAAACGATATGCAGCGAACCCCGAACGTCAAGCACGAACACGATGTAAGAGGGCGTTGGTCGTAAAACACACGTGTCACCAGGACTCGGCCTCTGTCATTTCTCCATGCATGGCTAATCAAGAACCTCCTGCACCGTAGACAGAGGATATTTGGGTAAGCAGTTGTCTAAACCGTCGGACCTCTGAACGTGTCCCACCCCTTCCAACGTACCTCTCGAGCTCTGTATCCAGAATCCCTGGCAATCGAACTCTTTCTACAGCTTTTTAGGCTCTTAAGCGCATCGACTCCTTGCATGGGTACATTATTTCGGTCTTGGTGAGGCCGGAGGTGGAACGATAGGGCTTCGTTCTCCGGTGATGTACCTGTAGGAAATAAATCACATTGTTTCTTCAGGTAGTTGAGGCTTGATTGTAGTTGAGAAGCAAGGGTTGTTGATGACCTATAAAAGTAGTCGACATCAACATTGAGACGGCCCACGACTCTGTTCTCCTCGTCTGTCTGCCTGAACAGGTCGCGCGCCAACAGACCGAAAGTTCCCAGACACAACGGGGATTGATTCCGAAACCCGCAGCGCATGCACGCTGAACATGGTGGAGTGACGCCCATCTGGTTGACATTTATTGTTGTCTTTGAAGTGTGCATGGCGGAAAAGAAGTGCGCTTGACATACATACATAGTCAACCCGAAAACCCGTCGATTCTGTAGACTACTGTACTCTACTGTGTGTGCTGTACAGCAAACATCGCCAAGAAGAATAAGACAATATAGGTTCTGTAGATTGTCTACTTGTGCAGTATTTCAATCTCGCGTTGGAAAAGACGTGGATTCTGTCATCATGTGTACAGTATGTAGTACTTGACGCATCAGCCGGGGTCATCAACCAGGAGGAAAGCATACTTGTAGGCTCGTTTTTTCTCCACCTTTATTGCATACTTCGTCGCTTGGAGGGTTCAGCGGCACATGTGTGTGGCGAATGCTTACGGCAAGATTAACACTACACGTTCGGTGGTAGTTTTTGTTTTTCCAGAAAAAAAAGCAAGATGCACACAGAGTTGATGCCCTATGTGCGGCATGTGCTCATTTACAAGGGGGGCGTGTAGAAGCTTTGCTCAGAGACACAATTCCCGCTTGTAGAGTCGGGAAGGTTCTATAAACAACACTTGGGCCTGCAACTGAGGTACAGTATACGGATGGCGCGGCTCTTTGACCAAGTCTCACGGGTATGGTCCTCTACATGCGATCTTCGTAGGATACTGCCGAAGGATTGGGCCACGTACTCTATAAGGCGTCATGGGTTGTTCTCACTCAAATTCGAAAAATAACATTTACAGATAGATAGATTCATGATCTCCGTAGATGCCATGCGGACGTACAAGCTGATCGATAATTCGGGTGGCTCAGTTGTGTGTGATGGGAGCGTAGAGCAGCTCGGCCATGACGGGCCGCACGGGTAGGTAAAGACGTGTAGACGTGGTGAAAAACGTGTTGTATTCATCGGGGGCGTGCTTGAGCTCGTCATTCCATCACGGCATCAAGTCACGCATAACGCTTTAATACCTAGAACGAATCTCCATGAATCTCCACCAATCTACTACACTCCCAAGGAAAGCACAAAGAAACTTCTTGTTCCTCCGTAGTTCGTCACTGCAATCCCCGCATATTTATACGCAATATACCACCCCCATGCTATGCTACGAGTATATCGAATAGCCCCCCTGCTCGTATGCATCGTCATGCTCCAACAAAATATCAAAGTCATCCTTATCATACCAGTTCATCCCAAAACAAATCAAAACCAAGACAAAATCGAAAACTCCAACACCAAAACAATACCTCCTCCAAAAACAATCAATCGCATACCAACTCTTTCTTCCAAATCATCAAGAAAAATCCCTAACATTAACCTTCCAAAACACTACCATCTCCACTTGACCCTCTCTATCTCTTGTTCAAACTCGTACATATCCTCTCTCTTCCACTCAACGGCAAAGCACGATTTGATCCCAAAACACCTCTGTCACTGCAAATTCATCACAAAGTCTCTGTGCAACGCAAAAGATTCCTTGCTGATAGCCTTCGTCAAGAAATCTGCATGCTGAAACTCCGACGCCACATGTGTAATCGAAATCTCCTTCCTCTCTACCAGTTCCCTAATAAAGTGATGTCGTACATCAATGTGCTTCGAGTTTGAGTTCGTGATCGGGTTGTGCGCAATCTGAATCGCTCCCTGATTATCCTCGAAGATTTGAATGCACGGCATACCTGCATCTGGCAACATAAAACGCCAAACTTGCCTCAAGAAAAGCACCTCCTTCAAGACGTCGGCAATTGCCACATACTCTGCTTCCGTTGTGGAAAGCGTAACGCACTTCTGCGTCCTCGAAAACCAAGTCACACACCCACCCCCACACATCACTAGTCCTCCTGAAACCGACCTACGGTCTGCTGCCTTGCTCGCATAGTCAGCATCCACGAACACCTGCATGCTCATGCCAGTCACCACACCCCTCTCAAATGTAATCCCCATCCAACTCGTCCTACGCACGTACCCTAAAATACCAAGTGCTGCCTTCCAGTGCACCATCTTGGGAGACGCGCAATACCGCGCTACTGCTCGTACTGCATTCGCGATGTCCGGCCTGGTTTGAGTGGCCAACCACATCAGGGATCCTACCAACTCGCGGAAAGGGACATCAGCACACGCTTCGTCCTCGTCAAAGTCGGTGAGCTTCATGCTCACAGGCAAGGGCACACTCTTCCCCCACTCTACGCCGTACTCTGCAGCCAACTCTTCTGCAAACCTTTGCCTGCGAGATCCTCAAAAGGCCTCTCTCTAGATCTCTCTGGTAAAAGCACGCGGAGTACCACCTCAACTCCCCAAGGTTCTTCACGGGGACCATCTCGTTGAGGTCTCTGCCAAACTTGTCACATCTCTCCTTCTGCCCTACGGCAAAAATGTCATCCACGTGGACCACGATGATCATGATCACACATCCATCCTCCATAAATCGAAAAACACATGCATCCGCCAAACACTGCACAAATCCTAAAAGTAAAAAGCACCTCGTCAGGTGCGCATGCCATTGTCGTGACGCCTGCTTCAAACCGTACAGACTCTTGCATAGCTTCACGATCAGTCCAGATAACCTACCACAACCTTGCGGGAGACGCATGAAAACATCCTCTTCAAGCTCAGACTGCACAAACGCCTGCTGAATATCGAAATGACACAAGTCAAGGTTCTGCTCACATGCCAAAGCTGCCAACAAACGCACACTAGACACGGATACGGTGGGTGCAAACAATTCTCCAAAATCAATCGAAGCCCTCTGCATGTCCCCCCGCGCTACAAGTCTTGCCTTGAATTTCGTCGGCCATCCGTACTCGTCTGCCTTACAGTTGAATACCCACTTGGCGTTGATGAAGTTTTCTACTGGTTGCTACACCGGACTAAAAGTACCTGCATCCAACAGACCGAAGAACTCCCGACCGACTGCATCATCCCACAACTCTGAATGTTGGGACCGCATGGCCTCCTTGAACGTTTTCGGCACTCGGAGTTCGCTGGCGAGGCAGTGAGGGAGGTCCGGCATCTTGTCAGGAGGGCGCTTGGCACGAAGAGTGGCTTCCACGTCCTCGCGGGTGGCGAACATTGCTGCGAACATGTGCAGGCCCCCCGGCCCTCCAGCTCCTGCGGCCCCCCCGCTCCCATGGCCTGCTAAACTCGTATCTTGCGGCGGTGGGGGAGCGGGAGGGGCGATGCTGGCGGACGGTGGCAGGTCTCGACGTCCTTGATCGACGGCCTCCCGGGTGGCGAGCGACGAGACGAGCGCATCCTTGCCCATCATCGACAGCAGCCCAAGGCGGTGTTGGAGAGCGGTGCCGCCACCTGACGGCGACGGCGGTTGCTGTTGCTCATCCATGAAGCGCACTCGGTCGCCGCGCGTACGGCCATGCACTCTGGTTTCCTTCTCGCCCAATTCTCTGACCGCTCGCTGTGAAAGCGGCGGGTGAGCGGGAGCGGCGGCGCTTGCGGGCGGGGGTGTCGGCGGTGGACGGGGCGGCGTGGCTGCGGTGGACGGCGGTGCACTCGAAGACGCCGTGGAGATCGGCGACGCGGCTCCGGACCCTGTGAAGATCGACGGAGAAGTGGGCGGCGGCGAAGCGGTGGTCGCTGTGGGCGGGGTGTAGGTGTACGTCCGCGATGCCCATGGCGGTGGCGGTGCGGCAGCGGCTGCAGGAACGGCGGCGGCCGGCGAGGGCGCCGCGGTGACCGAAGAGCCCCCCCCGCTGGCCGGTACCGGCGCCGGCACGGCGGTGCGGCGGTTGATCCACACGACGTTGTTAGACAGGCAGATCCTTCCGGTGTCGGCGCGGAGGGGGCTCTTCGGTCACCGCGGCGCCCTCGCCGGCCGCCGCCGTTCCTGCAGCCGCTGCCGCACCGCCACCGCCATGGGCATCGCGGACGTACACCTACACCCCGCCCACAGCGACCATGACACGTCGTCTACGAGATTCGAGTCGAGCTTAGTTTGGAGTATCGCTTTGCGGCGATCAGCAGCAGCCACCGATGAACGACACCGAGCAAGATCGAGTGAGCGCCCGACTAGCAGAGGAGGAAGCCCGGATCAACTACTTGGTCGAACAAAGGGTAGAAGCAAGACTGGCCGAGATGTCGAGGCAAGAAGCAGAGGAGCGGAGGACAGATGACGTCCGGACCGGAAGAGAGCACGAGGATCGCCACCAGCAACACGCGGGGCGGCCATCGGCCAACCCGACGACCGACGAAATCGCCCGCACACTCGCCGACGCCCTCACCGGTCGACTTCACGTCTCATCAGGGGACATGGGTAGAGTACCCATTAACGCAGGGACGGTTCGAATGACTGAGACTAAGCGCCTAGCGCCTTGGGATGGTGTTTTCAAGCAAGGGGAGGATGAGCAGGCTAAGTTTTTGATTTTTCGATCGAACATGGTAGCTATGTTTGCCCAGGAAGGAGTGCGTGACGTAGTACTGACTGAGGAAAAAAAATTCCAGTTGGGAAAGAAGGCGTGAGCATGGAGGAGATGCGTAGGGTGCATTCGAGTGGACGGGTAGAAAAGGCAATAACGGCGTGGAACCTGCTGATCACGACAGTGACATACATGCCAATCCTAACCCAGATCATCGCCGATGGGAGTCCTAGTGGAGGTTGGAAGATATTCCTCAATTATTACGAGCCGCGTGCCAGGGCCGAAAAAGAAAGGCTGTCATCTCAATATCACGCTCTTGAGATGAAAGTAGGGGAGACCCCGCAAGAGTACTTCGGGAGATTTGCTGTTTTGCGCAGTAGGCTCGCCTCGCACGGTGTTGTTTTCTCCGACGATGATGCCAATGCCCACATGGTATACCACCTTTCCGACGAGTACTCGGTAGAGAAGAAGATTCTGACCATGTCACCGATTCCCCCCTCGCGCGAGACAATTGAAAAGGCTGTGCGAGATGCTCATGCGGACTCGGTTCGCCGTCGGGAGGGGGAACCGAAGAATGGCGCGGGGCACGCGTTCGTCGCTTCCGGTGGCATCCGGGGCGATGGACGTGTCCAAAATGGGTCGAGTGGAAACGGCGGGGGTCAGGACGGAGACGGAGGCGCCCGGAGTCGGAGCAGGAGCAGGGTGAGAGGAAACAAGAAAGGCGGAGGTGAGAGAGGAGCCGACAACGACCACTGCTACCTACATCCGCGCTTGTTCCACACCAACGCCCAGTGCTACACCCAGCGCGACCCAGTCGCCCTCTCCCGGAGCAGCAACCTATCCGCCTGGGCATCTCCACTCCCTGATGGCACACTTTGTGTCCGCTGACGAGATGAGTTCGCTTTCGGTTTCGAGTGATGTAAGCAGTGTCGCATGTGGTGATGATCTTGGCTTTGCTTTGTCTGCACAGAGTTGCGAATACAGTCCTGGTAGGGAGGTATTTTGGTCTGATAGCGGTGCAAGCAACCATTTTGTGAGTAACAGCTCCAAGATGTA